CGAGATCACAAATACCTAATTAACGTCATGGAGGGATAAGGTTATGCCACAAGTGCCATTGTCTGGACTTGCACCAGCTGCCTGGGCCAAAGCTACAGCCAGCACTATAGAGTTTTGGGCCCTTGGCACATCTGGCATTAACAGCATACTAAGCAGATCTGGAATGAAAAATGGTGTACAGATTTAGAAGATCTGTCTTGACACTGGAAAAGGTACAGCTTACTTACTTTCATAGTGGATCTGGAAACCAATGTCCGAGTGGCTTTTGTCAGTGGTGAAGAGAAGGTAGAGGAAATTGCTGGTGCTGATGAGAAACTGGGGGACTTGGGTCCCATCATAAATTCCAATCAAGGGGGACGAGTAGGATTTGCCATCACGCACTTCCAGCGTGTCATAATTCACCTCTGTTTTAAACCTACCAAAAAGGGTCAAGAGAGATGTTGGCAACAAGAGCAGCCCCCCTTTCATTCTCTCCTCCCTCTTCCCGCTATTTAAATCGGAGGTTTAAATAAAATTCTTCAAACTCAGCTGAACCTATCTAGTCTAGTTCAGCCCCATTTAATTTTATTCTGTTTTCCATATTGATAAACTGCTCCTACCCCTGAAGTTCTCACGGCAGCTTACAGAATCAAAACAAAGTTAACAGTAATTTCTCAAAACAGTAATACCATAAACCGTGATTAACACAAATGGCAAATTAAGATCAATAACACAGAACAGAGAATAAAACATGAAACAGAACCAATTTTAAAAAGAGCAGCAAGAACAGAAAGTCCTAAGGGTAGAAAAACATTGCTTAGATGAAATAATTAATTCCCTTTCTGGGAATTGCATTTCGCCACTGAGCCCCATCATGAATAAGTCCGTTTCCCTAGGAGGCATTTGCTGTCTGCACCTGACAGGAATCCCTGAAGAAAGACCGTTGTCAACTCTGGTTATTAATACTAAAGGAAAAGCATTCATCTCCAGCTGTTCAGATGCCTTCTCCTTTTGGTCTTTACTACATCAGCAGTGCCCAAAGTTCTTTGGATTATGAGAAAATTAGGACAACGTGGGTGGCGCATAGAAAAAGGACATATATTGCAAGGGGTGCGTCTGGAGAAAGGTAAGCATGCCGTGAAAAGGTGAGCCTGTTTTTGATTTCTGAGCTATTTCAATTTCCATTCCAAATCTTTCTTTGAAATATTTACAATGTTTTAAAATTTAAAGATATCTTTAAAATACATTCTGGGCAACCAAAATTGGGGTTTATTAATGCCCACAATCTATGTTTCACTTTTAGGAGATAGCTGAATCAAAACCCATTTCTAGCAATCTTGACTGCATTTACAGCTGTCTACCACAGTGATTTTTAGCTTCTTAAAATTATATGTATGTATATATGCATACAAATATATGTGTGTATATAAATATATGTGTATATATGTGTCTCTGTGTGTGTACACACACACAGACACATACAAAATGAAACATGGAAAAAGGGTGAAATATATATATATTTCATTCTTTGTTCATGTTTCCTTTTATATTTGTTTATATGTTTTCTTTGAAGCGTTCATTGAAAGAGCAAAAAAGCCAAATAACCCCAAATCAAAATATATTTTGAAACGAGTTTCCACCCCACCTCCCCCCATTAGACACTAAAGGGCCAGAAACAGCTAAATTGGCTTCATGATGGAAGAGACCTCAAAACAATGTGGAGCAAGGCCGTGCAACACTTGGCTTTGTTTTCAAAAGTGGAGGAAGGCATTTGCTTCCATGAAGCAGCTTTGAAAGGGTGCATCAGAGACTTTTGCAAAAATATAGCATTTTTTTTAAAGCTTTGCACAACCTAATACCACAGAGACAGAGAGGGAAACAAATGAACCTGGACAGTAAGTTTTAAAATTTAAAAAAGGACTATTTATGACCCAGCTGCCCTACAGGGCATTTCTGTCAACAATGTAATTTTATTGAAATGATTCAATTGTTGGTCACCTGTCAAATGTGATTTTGATTGGGTACCCTGGCTGAGCTTCTATGACCCATGCGCAGTTGAGAGAGTCCTTGTAGAACCCTGGCCACCCTGGAGACAGGATCATTCCACTTGGCGAGGTCAGGTGGCCACCACAGGGAGCTACCAAGGGGAGGGATGGAAACAAAGATGTTACAACCAAGTTTCAGTACAAAAGCAATACTGTAAAACAACAGCATACTTCCCCCGTGCTTCATTTTTGCTCTCTCAACAATCCAGGAATCTACCAGGCTCAAACACTGACCCTAAACGTCTCAGACAGCTACTAGTACCTCCAGGGCTGGGGAAAATGCCAGGGTCCTGCAGTCTGGATGGCCTGCAAAACGGTTGCAAACATGACAGGCCAGTGGCCATGAACAGATGGTATCCGTGAGGAAAAGAAGCTTTTCCTTGTCACTCGCCAGGTCACATATGGTGTTCAACTGCAGCTCTCCAGATTTTGCTGGCCTACAATGAGCATCTCTAAGGAAGCCTGTTGAGGGCTGTAGTTCAGTCTCGCCTGGACTGCCACAGACTTTCTATGTTAACGTGGGTTATGGGTACTATCTTGGTCAGCACAACTGATGCTGACTAGAAATAGCTTGTCAGGTTTCAGGCAAGAGGCTAGGAATGAACAGAGATTTGGTGCAGGTAAACACATCTTCTGTTAATGATTGATGGCTTAACAAAGCTTAGGTTGGCTAGGAGTTAATTAAGCCAGTGGTTCTTAGGGAAGTAAGGGGGGAAAAAAGCACTTTAGGGGAAAAGAGTTACTTTGTATCTTATCCCTTGTGAGACTGAGATTATATCTAATTCAAATGTTGTGCTTGAGAAAAAAAAAATTGACAGTTTAAGCATGCTTAAGAAATAAATTCACTACAAAGTATCTAATGTTGCTTGCTATTTCCTGGATCTTTTCTTGAAAGCATAATCTTCCATTTGTTTTCCAAGTGTCCAAACTGTATATTTTCCAGATGGAGTAATTTCAAAATATAATTTCCAAAACTGTATAATTGCATATTATCCAAAGCATAATCTCCAAATTATTTCCCAATTTTTGGGAAGCAACGCATTTCCACTTACCTTCTCGATCCCAAATGCTTTGCTCTGCCCATTCTGCTTATGATTTTTATTCCTCAAATATCAGACAGCACTTTAAATATGCTAGACAGATTTCTTATTTAATTAAAAAAGAAGCTAATTAGAAATTGCATTTAATTAAGCTCACACTGGAGGGCAAGACAAAGGCAGGCAAGAGAGATGGGAGATAAAGGAGGACATGTTGATAGTGATGAGGTTATCAAAACTGCCAGAGGATGACAAGGAATTTGAAATGGTCTTGATACTTTTCATTTCCCCCCACCGCTTAAACTAAGGGTGAGGCGGGGCATGAACTATCAAGCTTCTACGACCCACCCAAAAGAGATTTAATAAGAGTTGACCTAAAGTAAACAAAGCTGCAAACTGTTCTTTAGCAATGTTGATGCTTTTTTGAAAAGAAATGATAAGGCAGAGCAGATAAATGAGAAATCCTCCCCTTCCTATGATTGAATAAGAATCACTGGGAGCAAGGAGGTTGTCAGCCTAAGCATTTCTAACAGGAAGCAAGGAAATTGGGCAGGGAAGCAAGGAGGTCTTCTTCTGGAATGGCTAGTTAGAGAAAGGAGAATGGCCAGTGTGGGAACCACTTCCAACTTGGGTCACCTGACCTCTGCTGAGCCAATAGCTGCAACTCTACCATCTGCAGTGCTGGGGTTTCAAAAGCAGAGCTGCAACATCTCCTCTGGGCAAGCAATCACAGGGGCTAGGACCCCACATCTAAGCATGGTTTGTTTAGCCACAGTTTGTTGTAAGAGCTACCATGACTGAGATCATACATTGTTCCACACCATCAGCTATGGTTTACAAATCACACCGACTCAGTTCTGGCGATACTTCTAAGTACTCTGTGTCTTCTTGAAACTAAGGCTGAGATGAGCCAGTGTTCAGCCATTTTGTACCGGTATTTTACATTTTGTACATTTTCAATCATTTGTATCCAACTGAATACTTTGTATAACCTCCTCATCTTTTGAGAGAAGCCATGAGGTCACTTGCAGCTTGTCCACCCAGCCGAGCTGGTAGATTAGAATCAGGACATTTACAAGTGCTCGGGCTATTGCTTCCTGATGCTTACAAAGACTTCACAAAGCCCTAACCATTTTGCTGATGACCAGCAAAAAGCAGGTCTTGCTTTGGGTATTGGAAGGAAACAATTGCTATATTGCCCTAGCATCTGCAGCTGAATGAGCGATCCCACTTTGACAGGGTGCAAGGGCTCATTCGCCTCCCGCTTACCAAAGACTTGATTGTTTTGCAGTCATTACCGTTACCAGCCTTGCCTTGTTTTGCTGATTAACTTGGCAGACCCTGATTGTTTTACTTGTTTTAAAACTGAGGTTTGCTGATGGTTTACTTATTTTACCTGTAAACAATTTTGCACTCTAGTAAGAAAGATCACTTTTGTTCCACTACTTTGCATCGCTAATAGGAAACACTCCCATGGTGACACGCTCCCAGAAGGCCAAATAAAGGATTTCCTGTGCCCACCTAGATTGGGCGGGACAGATGGTATGCGCCAATGAGATTTTACCATTTCCCCATGTGCTAATGCTGCTGAAGACAAGCACATGTGCTTGCTTTGCAAAACTATTTCCAAGTGTCTTTCTTCCCTACAGAATAGATGTTGAAAATATCTCTATGTCTTGTGTGCTCTGATTGGGCCTGGACACACCAAGGCTATGAACCCAGAATTCTTGGGACAACAGTTGGTCCAACCATTTGGTACTCTAAAGTGGCTCACCTTGGCCAAGAGAGTTCAAGGTAAAAGGAGACCTACCATGCAGGAAAACTATGAATCATCTCTAACTCTCTGCTGACATCTAGTGATGGTCAGGATTTTCACAAGCCAGGCATGGTAGGTCTTGCGAAAGATCAAACCGTTGTGCCTTACTGACATAAAGGGTGCAATCTGCATTCTCCGATTCAAGCATGAAAGTATATCAGATTGCTTTGAGTGTGAACAAAAATAATCTTAGTTATTTCTCCTCCTCCACTGCCCCCAAATTGTGAGATTGCCCATTGATTTTAGAGACACTGCCAGATGATTTCTGGAACTATTTCTCAAGTATTCAGTGTGTCTGCACTCAAACAATGGCAAGGAGATCAATCAGTGGCTGTTCTCTCAGAGAACAGAAAGAGGGCAGAAAGGTTTAATATTCCTAACAACTTTTTTTTTCATTCCACTTTGTTTTCCTGAAACTGAAAATTCAAAATCTCACGAAGTAGCTTTCTGTGAGGATGGGAGGAAGGAGAAAATTCGGCTGTATCTATCACTTGAACTGGCCTTCTTTTTAATATTTTCTCCATTTTGCTCGGTTGTCAGCCTTCTCCAACTATAAACCCAGCCTACTTGGGCACTGGCAATGTTGGTTGAGGATTATGGGAGTTGATATCTACCACATTCAGAAGGCACCGGGTCAGAATCAGGTATCATGAGGCAGGCTCATCTCTAAAGCAATTTTCTGCAAGCTTTTTCACAAGGGGCAGATACTATGTTCACCAAGATAAATGAGACTCAGAAATGTTCAGAACTGTTGCTTTATCTAATGCATCTGTCCTGGTGTAGGTGTCATGCTTTTAAGCTGTGTATAATTGTTACAATATTTGAAATTAAATGTTCTCTCCCTAAATAAATAAGCTAAAACTACTACTAATAATAATCCCAAAGATTGATTGATGGGACAACTGTTTCATATGCTTCAACTAACACAGGCTTTGTACTGGACCAGCCATGGAGGACCCACAGCTTGGTAGATGAGTGCATGAGCAAATCTAATAAACCCTGAGCAAGAAGGGCACTGTGTAGGATTTCAGTTGGCCAGCTATGCCTCTTTCCTGATGCTTGCCGTTAACATCCTTGGAGGCAGGGAGTTCTACGAGGATACTATTTCTCCCCTATACCTTTTTTTCCTGATGGGGGAATATTTCTATTGGTAATTTTGTCTTGTGTATAGAATTAGGGGAATAAAGCTGAATAAAGTGAAGCTCAAGGGATCAGTAAACCAATTTATTTTCAATTTCATCTTTAGTCATTCCCAAACTTCATTAAGAAATCAAGAAGGCATGGAATTAGTTATAAAAAATGAATATTGAAATGCAATTTATCTCACAATATTTTTATGTAACCTATATGAATCTTCCCCCCCCCCCAATCCATTCAATTGTATCCGATTCTTGGAGGTTGCCTGGACAAATCCCTGCACTTTTCTTGGCAAAGTTTATCAGAAGTTGTTTGCCATTGTCTCCTTCCTAGGGCTGAGAGAGAGTGACTGGCCCAAGGTCACCCAGCTGGCTTTGCGCCTAGGGAGGACTAGAACTCACAGTCTCCCAGTCTCTAGCCTGGTGCCTTAACCACTACACCAAACTGGGTCTCATCTGAAGCTAAATATAGTATTAAATTTCACTAAAACCTTACTAGAACAAAAGGCCAAAGGGACAGAAAGCATGAGTGCATTTTCTTTTCAGTCTAGCAGCTCTAAGTCATGCAGGGGTGTCCATGGGACAGGGGGTGGGGTCAACAAAAAGATGGTGGGGATTTGATAAAGCAGTCACAGCCACCGTTTTGCCTTCCTCCCTCCCACCCCCGCATGGATGCCCCTGAAGTCAAGTCAGTTTGCACCAAAATCCACAGCCTCTCATTCCTCAGATATTTCTTATATTTATTTCTCACCTTTTCTTAAAAGTTATAACTAAGAAAATGAACAAGCCATGATGGCAGTTTACCTTCACATCTCAGGACTGCATTATCCCAAACCACATTGCCTTCCTTCAAGACACAGGTGACTGTTTCAGAGCCATGTGTCCTTATGAATCCTTCATCACACAAGAAAGAGACTGAGCTCCCAAGCTGGAGACTATCACCAAAGCGCTTCCCATTGACCGGCACTCCTGGATCAGGGCACTCATTGTGTCTGAAGGCTGGAAAGAAACAAGACAGTGGAGAAGCAAATGCATTTTACTCCAACTAAATGTCCCTCTGCATCCACCTTATACTTCTTGTCTTCAGAGAGGAATTCTGGTTAACACACTCAGGGGCATCAAAAAAAAAGATCTCATTCTGTTCCTTTGCTGTCTCCTTCCTTCTGTTAGCAATCCTGCCAGTCTGAAGTGTATCTCCAGTGTGGACTTGAAGAATCTATCTGAGCTAGTGGGAGGCACGTGTGGGTGCCTGTGTGAATGAAGCCAGTTTTCACATGAAGCAATAGACCCATACGATGGAGATGTGAGCCTCAGGCTTACAGGTTCACCCCAAACAATCTTGTTCATTTTATTGGAGTGGCTCAGATTCTGCATTTTAGTAATGTAAGTTTTTATAATTACAACCTTAAAATGATTTACATCATAACAAGAAGGAAAATTATATAGTTCACAGAAAGATAAAATAGTTGGTGTTTTTCTTGTGTGAGTCTATGAAGTTTGTTTCCTCAAGGAGGAGGAGGAAGGTGATTAGCACTGGTTTTCACTTGGATGAGAGACCATCAAGCATTAAAGAGCATAGGTCCTTTTGCACATGTATTTGTGAGACTCGTATCCTCCTTTTCCTCCAGGAACTCAAGGTGCTGTTATAATGGGGAAAAATTGGTCCTCCAATTTTTCCCCATAATAACAATCCTCTGAAGCAGTTTGGTGTAAAGAATGAAGCTGGTGAGGTAGAAACCAGCAGTTCCACGCTAGAGAGTGCTGTTATACCAACACAGATCAGGTGCCACCAAGGCCATCAAGAGAATTGCCAACTGACCATCGACTCAGAAATGTGTTAGGAAAACCCTAGAATTTGAATCCTGGAGCACAACCTGCATAAAGGGTTCAATTACTGGGTATTGCAGGGGGCAAATGAATAGCTTCACTCTGCTTTTCAATAAAGAAAGTACCTGAGCTGTGTCTGAGAACCTATCACTAAGTAAGCTAGTTAAGGGGTTAAGTATCTGGAGTGCCATGGACTTACAACCATGGCTGGTATGAAGCCTGACAGTTGGGTAAGAGAAAGTGACTTGCTCATAGTCTCTCAGTGTCAGGCTCCCCGAACTGATGTGGCACAACACCACAAGATGAGCATCTTTATTATAACCAGAATTAAGCCAGAGTAGTCACTTAGTTCACTCATTCAATTCTGTTGTTGTCCTGTCTTCACACAGGATGGAAATAATTTTCTGTAGGGTGATTTACAAACCATAAAATAACAATAAAGTAGAACCCATGCTTACTGACCATCTAGCATCTCCATCTAGCTATAAATATATAATCCATAACTCATATGACATAAAAGTTGTCCAGAGAAAATGGCTAGGTATTGAATACCAATTTAAAAAGTAA